CCACATATTAAATTGATTCTAAACCCAGAACCAACACTACAAGCACAACATTAAGTTCATGGGTTCAAAAGGTACATCAAAAAGTATCTACAAACAGTTTAACTTCAAAACAAGAGATTGAGATGCATGTCTGTATCTAGGTTTATTTGTTTTCTTAGCAATGAAAGTAAGAGAGACTCTTACTGTTCAATTAGGCTATAGAAGAAACAAGTACATTTATGTTGTCAAGTGAAATAACCCAGGAAGCTAATTAATAGTGCAAACGGAGCTTACTTTTTTCTAAGGAAATTATTTGCTTCACATGACATTTGTTCCTGCAATATTATAGTTATAATTCAATGTATTGTTGGCAACAAAAAAATTAATATCTGAACAAAATTCCCTGAAATTTATATCTGAACACATCTCGAGCAAAGCAACTTATACAATTCATGTGGGTATTGAATATCGAAATTCATATTAAAATTAATTAATTTTCATATAACTGAAGCTCTCCTGGGTGAAATGAAGTACTGTATACTATTCCCTCTTGGTTCGGCCTACATGTTATTTTCAGAAGTTGAATTGTTGGACTCGACTACAACGCTACCCGTGGGAGTGATGGTGAGATGTTAGAAGAGTCTGCCGGTGGTCAAGACCATTTTGCCCCCATCCTAGAATGCAAAATTAGTTCTACGAAGACTAAAGGCAAATTAAACTTGTCATATCAACATATCAGCTGTGGAGAAAGGTCTAGTGTTCTAGAATGACAAACTATACAATAAGGTAAATAGGCGTGAGTAGATCACGCGCTAGAATAATCATTGTTTCGCAAAGCTAAACCAGGAAAGGAAAAAACCCACACAATATTTAGAAAGACCAAAGTCGCATAAAAGAACCTTCTAATGAGATGAATATACCCACAGGAAAACAATTTTAATTAGCAAATTAACTACTCATTTATACTCAAAATAAATAGAAGTGCACTGATGATGTGCATATCCTTTCTCAATTGACAGGTTTAAATTGTTGATAGGACCAAATGCACGGCAAATTCATGGCAACAATTGTGAATAAAAAAGAAAAAGGAAATAGAATAACCTAATTGAGAAACAAGCGACCAAGAATACACTACAAAGGTGGTGCCGTGCGGCGGGCAAGAGTACATTACTCAAGCTAGTATGAAAATACATTAAGACATGCATACACATCTAGCTTTGTCACGAGTCCTTCACAGCATTCTGCATACATAAATTGAAGGGGCTTCTTTCATAAAGGAGGCATGTTATACTTTGCCACTCATGAGTTGCAAGCACATTGTTGTAGTTGTATAGCCACAATCGGCATCCTTCAACGGGCTATCACTGGCTTCAAGTAAGTCTCGTATTTCAGTTTTGTCACTTTGTCTAGATTTTTGGCCCTAAATCATGGGCGTTCTCAGTACACGCAACTCTGAAAAATAGAGAGCACCCATATAAGCTTAAATGCTTGGCCGAGGTCGGCTTAAAAACGGACTTCTTCCTTGGTTGTTGTAGAACTACATGGCCTGAGCTGCAGTTATTTTATATCTGCTATTTTGCATTGCCAGCGTTCATGTGTCACCTCCAACCTGCATCAACAAAATATGTAGGACTCAGTAGTATACTGGACAACTCCAAACCTAATGGAATTGCATAATTTCCATACACCTGCATCAGGCTTGCCTATCAACTACTTAGGTAAGAGTTGAAACCGAGTTCAACCGGTAAGCAAAAAAAAAAGCTAGTTCAGGAAAAAATGTCGCGCCCTTCTCGAGTCTTGACAGTATGCAAGAATCATGCCTAAACACTATGTGCAGACATGGTGAGAGATGCCACCACATGTCACGGTTCTAGACCAGAAAACAGCTAGCCATTCCTATTATACAGATTTGCAAGTCTTAGGGTGTAGTAAAATTCTAGGTAAGCAGGTTAGCACTGCCATACTTGTCATTTGGATCAATACGGCTGTTATACATCTCTGAACTCCTCAGTCCATCAGTAAAAGAGCAAATCATGTAAGGCTTGATTCATATAAGTAAGTGTGCATGTGCAAAGCACGTCTTGTCAGGAATAAAAAAATTTGAATACGCAAAGCTAATGTAGAGAAACCTGCAGAGAAAACCAGTACCAGGACATAGTAAAAGTAAACTCTAGAGGAAAATAAACGTGCATTGACCATATATGACTATAAACGACACAACTAAGAAAGCAGTTCCATGCTTTCATGTGACAAACTTCAATAATGCTTAGTAGTTTGTACAATATAATATAAGCAAATATGAAAATGAAATATGGTAAAATCACCCATTCATGGCAGTTTAACCAAATTATATAAGTTAACAAGGCAGAAGCAGAAACAGAGTTTTAGCATGTTACCTTTCAAATGACTGTAAGATATCTAACATCAAGGAGTGATCCCGAAAGTCATACTCATAGCAGCCAGAGAGGACATTAGCGACCTCCATAGGTAAATTGTACAGGAACATCGGTTTCTCTTTCTGTAGGACAACTGACTGATAAATCTCATCTGGTGATTTGGCACACCAAGTCTGAACACCACTGAACATCTCAAGAATGCTCCAAGCGAAACCCCAATGAGTCAGTATCGTAACTAATTGGGCCTCTGATGTTTGGTCGCCAATGTTCTGGGGCATGTAATTTGGAGTCCCATGTCTTTGGATAAGATCTGGATTTGGCAGCGGAAGTCCAAACGGCAAGGATGGAATCCCAAATCCCCCAGCACAACATGGTCATTGTCCTCAAGGAGAAAATTACAAGACTGAAGATTCTGAACAAATATTCCCCTGGAGTGTAGTTATAGCACACCATGCGGCAACTCGGTGCCATATCAGCAAGTTACAGGAAACCATAAAAATATGTAGTACTACTGAAGAAAACATCTTCTAAACAGAGCATCTGAAATTCAGTGCATACAGTCAGAGGCATGTTACCTCCAGAAATCCCTATCAAAAGACACTGGTTTCCTTCCACGCATTACATATGCCAAAAGATAGTAAGCATAACATTAACCCATTTAGTTGTCTAGATAACCAGATTAAATCGTAAGCATTACATGGTTATATTTCAGTGAAAAGGAATACTGTTAAATAATGATTGCCAATGCATGTCATCATGCATAATTCAAAAACCACACGTTTAATCATTTAGGGGGCACATACATTTATTTTCAGAGCCTGCAACTCGTAATGAAATGCTAGACAAGTTTATTGTCCTACTAAAATATATGAGGAAATTATCAATGTCAAAGTTGTTGTGTCTAATGCCAAAACTAACTACTATATCAGGTCTGGTTACTGAGATGGTGTTCGGTGTGAAGATTAGTTAACAAAAAAATGTGAAAATACTTGTGTAATTAGAACAACAAGAACTGTAAATGTATGGATTTGGATTTCACAACTTAATGCCAACTAACACCGCATTAGAAAGAAGGAAAGCCCGGTCAAGTATACTTTTCAATGAAATTTGATTGAATCATTAAATTATCAAGAGCCATGTTGAACAATACCCGGCGAACGTTCGCTGGTGATGAGGTCCCAGTGAACACACACAGAACCACACAATCAAGATCCTGTGGATGGCTGTTTTCTCAAAAAATTGCACTAAATTAAAGAACTGCCATGGCAGTTTATAAAAAATGCCCCTTGCCCCTACCCTAAAAACTACCACCCGAGTCGTTCACATATGCCATTCCTGGCATACAAACGGCATCCTTTTTTTCACTTTCCTAAACCAAAAGGAAACAAATATATACTCGCTATTCCAGTTTGACAATAACAGCAAGCTACGTCAAACACTCAGTTTTAAAAAAGCTAATGTTTCAAAATAATGTAGCGGCCTAGAAATCGGAATATATTTTATGCTTTCAGAGCTAGTGATTTGCAAACTTCCCTCTGTAATCTAATTTGTAGTCACATTACAGACTGACTTTTCTTTAGTTAAATAGCTTGTGCTAGCTTGCTTGATGGTCATGCAGTTTGTGAGTTGATGAGTTGAACGATTTGGTGGGTTGGCCAACATTTGTGAAGAAATGAAAGGTCCCACTTATTGATTATGGTGAACAAACTAAGACTCAAAATTGATACGAGGCAATGGGCATAAGCTAATCAGGATTGCTGATTATGACTGGTTCCTTGTTTACAAAATTGGCATGCCAACCATGTAAGAAGATAACCATAACTCCAATGGGGGCAAAAGATGCATGAGGAAAAATGAGAAATATTATTGGGGCAAACAATATGCAAGACGGCTATCTGCTCAGGCTAATGATGCAACTCGGCAAACAGATGGCATACGACTGCTACGTTTGTTTCACTCTACAGACATTCAGATGGCAAAATCAGTGAGCTCACATGGTCTAACAGTTGGGATCAATAAGCTACAACTTACCATAATTGGAAATCCTTTTTCATATAAACCTTGCAGATCACAAACCTATGACCTGAGCATGTAAAAGGAATATTTCAATTGAAAGGGACGAACAACAGGGTGTTTTTTTACCTTGGTGCTACATGGAGGTGTCCCAGGAGGACGCCAATGAAGGGCTCGGCGGACCAAATCTTATTTATATTTGGAGCATGGACCTTGAAGATACCCTGCAAATAACATGGAAAATACAAGTGAGTTTGTACAACAAAGTTGATCCTATTGGAAAGTGCCTACTAATTCAGGATGAGCGGGTAAAAAAGCATCAGACTAATATGGTGGAGATTTTGATTGGCTTACTATGGTACATGTAACTTTGAAATTGTCGTGAAGAAGCTAATACTCAAGGGACAAATGAGATCTGAGATACAGTATAAATTGACAAGTAGATCTCAGTTTATCATCTGCTTTGAAATTAATTGAAATATATTGAACTCTGCCACAAGGAACCGCACCCATAGCAGATCAGTCTGAATACAGGTAGCAACAAATCAAGTTTTTGCATCACAACCTTTTCAGTTTCTAAACAGAGAGAAGGGAGGAAAGAGCAAGGAAGTCTTACCAAGTAGGATTGGTGTCCGAGACGAAGTCATACTCGAGGGACAGGTAGTTGAGGTATCCGTCCATGTCTCCCACCACGCCGTCCTTCCGGAAGAACTCTGCCTCGCCGATCTTGCCCCCCTTCTCTCCCTGCCACGCGCCACGCCAGCGAGCCGCCGATCCCTGCCTGTGGCGAGCTGGGGCTACAACCAGGAGTACGCGGAGTGGAAGAGGAAGTGTGGCCTGGGGTTTGGGCGGTCGCGGCGAGCAGGTCATCAAGTAGAAAATTACAAGACTGAAGATTCTGAACAAATATTCCCCTGGAGTGTAGTTGTAGCACACCATGCGGCAAATCGGTGCCATATCAGCAAGTTACAGGAAATCATAAAAATATGTAGTACTACTGAAGAAAACATCTTCTAAACAAAGCGTCTTAAATTTAGTGCATACAGTCAGAGGCATGTTACCTCTAGAAATCCCTATCAAAAGACACTGGTTTCCTTCCACGCATTACATATGCCAAAAGATAGTAAGCATAACATTAACCCATTTAGTTGTCTAGATAACCAGATTAAATCGTAAGCATTACAGCATGCAAAAAAGAAAAAAAATCGTAAGCATTACATGGTTATATTTCAGTGAAAAGGAATATTGTTGAATAATGATTGCCAATGCATGTCAGCATGCATAATTCAAAAACCACACGTTTAATCATTTAGGGGGCACATACATTTATTTTCAGAGCCTGCAACTCATAATGAAATGCTAGACAAGTTTATTGTCCTACTAAATATATGAGGAAATTATCAATGTCAAAGTTGTTGTGTCTAATGCCAAAACTAACTACTATATCAGGTCTGGTTACTGAGATGGAGTTCGGTGTGAAGATTAGTTAACAAAAAATGTGAAAATACTTGTGTAATTAGAACAACAAGAACTGTAAATGTATGGATTTGGATTTCACAACTTAATGCCAACTAACACCGCATTAGAAAGAAGGAAAGCCTGGTCCAGTATACTTTGCAATGAAATTTGATTGAATCATTAAACTATCAAGAGCCATGTTGAACAATATCATTAAATTATGGTTCAGATCAACAAAAATTCCAAATCACTTGATATTGGCTACTAACTCTCAGTTAACATGGCAGCAGCAGCAAAGTATGGCAGAGGAGAAATAATGGCCTCCAACATGTTCAGATCATGAAGAGAAAAGACTTTTTTGCGGGAAGAGAAGAGAAAAGACTGCCTGAGCATGGCCCGAACAGAGAGAGGGGAGGGAAGGGCCTTCCATAGCGAGCCATGGTCTGCACGCCCGCCATGGTGCTCCTCCGTCACACCCGCAGCCTGCAGAAACCAACCGCACGGATCAAATCGAAAAATCCAGAAGAAGATGATGAGGTGAGGGGAGGGGAGGCGAGGGGAGGAGGATGGAGGGCGTCAGTACCTTTGATGTCTACGTGCTGCAACCCGTCACCGACGTCGATGTCCACCACATCAGCAAGCACCGAGAGAAGGCCACCGTCGCCGTCGTCGCCCCATCCCCATCCATCCATGGGTGGGTGTTGGGCTAGGGTTTCATCCCCATCCATCCATTGGCCGGGCCAGACCTCCATGGCCGACCTCGAGGGCCAGGAGGATGAGGGCGCAGTGGTGCCGCTGCGGATCTGGGCGCCCCCTCACCTTGTCGCGCGATATGGAGCCTTCTTTCCCATAGCCCCACACCTTGTCGCACGGATCCAGGCTGAGAAGGTGAGGGGCTGGAGCGGCGGCGCTAGAGGAGGAGGAGGCCGACGGCGGTGGGATTGAGGCGGCGGCGGGGTTGGGGTTGGGGCGGAGAAGAGCGGCAGTGGGCATCGAGGGCACGAGGGAGCGAGCGTCTGGCTTTTTTTCATAGGTTAACCTTCGTAGATTTTTTTAGGATGATTTTCTGTGGATGAACTGTAGTGTTTCATAACGGCATCGTGGTAGCATACCGATTTTTTTTGTCGGTCTCGAGGGCGGAAGGGGGGAATCGCTAGGTTGTGGGAGGTGGGATCGAGGACGAAAATTAACCGTCTTTGGTGGGACGAAAATTAACCGGCGGATACTACCAACTGCTTCATTAGGAGTAGAGATTTAGTTCATCTAACGGCTACAGTAATTTTGATGATGTGGCTCAAGGAGAGGATAGCGAATTCCTAGTAGTGGGGGCTAGCTATTACTAGTAGATAAGTCTTTGTAGAGATTCCACTAGGTGAACTACATACGGAACAAAATGAATGAATCTACACTTAAAATGCATCTATATACATTCGCATGTGGTTCATGGTGAAATCTCTACAAAGACTTATATTTAGGAAAGAAGGAAGTACTAGTATAGTACATACTGTAATTTATCAGCAAGATAAATTTGTAAAATGCTATGAAGCTTCCAGCTTCTGTTACATGTATCTTGCGTCCAAGGTTGCCCGTTGCAACATTTCATCAAATACAAAGGAGACTAACATGCATGCTATTGCATCTCAATGATTGACAGATCATAGCAAATATGTACTCCCTCCGTTCCAAAATAAGTGTATCAACTTTGTGCAAACTTTAGTACAAAGTTATACTACTACTAAAGTTGACACTTATTTTGGAACAGAGGCAGCTAAAGAAAAAAACAATCCATGCAGTCCCTAGCCCTTGAACCGTGAACCCTAACCAGGCTTAAATTTGCTGGCAATGTTCGAGCTTCCTAATAAATGAAGTTTGCACCTTTTGACCATCGGATCATTTTGTGCAGTTTCACCAAAATTGAGATGAGCATCCCTGTGGCAAAGAAATTGAAGAAACGTGATTAGAATAAGATTACTGGGACTAGTTGATGAGACATAAACTCATCACAAATACAGTACGTAGAAGCCAGTAGAGGTATGTGCGGGGCAAAGAAGTAGAGAAATATCCACAGGGAGTGATGTGGGCAGCTGGAGCAGTGGTGCAAGCCGGCTGTAAAGGAGTTGTACCTGAGGGACGTAGCTCAACCTTGAGGAGGGCGGCAGGAGGCGGCAACTACCCACGTTGTGGCAGTGAGCAAGGGATGAAGGCAACCTCACCGGCTTTGTGAGAGAGAACGGCAGGGATCCCTGATCGGGACGTGCCAATAGTGGGTTTTCATCATCGGCGACGGCAACCGCATCTACACTAAGCATCCACCCCTTCCCCCAGCGGATGTGATCCGCTGGGATGTTAGAGATGTGGCCACAGTCGTTTTGTGCGAGAGAGTGTGAAGAGAGCAACCCCAGCAAGCAACCGTGTAGGCTGGCCCATCCTGACAATGTATATAGTGGAGCGGTTTCCTTTTCTCTACATATGAACCTATCATATTGCGTACGTGCCACTAAAGAAAAAAAACCTTTATTTATAAATGACGCGGCACCTACTACTCGTTCTCCTATAACCTTGCGCTTGGCATCTCCAAAATATTAACCTTGCGATTGGCTCTTCGCCTCTTCGGGAAGTCGAGCAATAATGGTAGTGCAGTATATATCGTTCTGGCTATATGAGACCGAATGAATTGATGCACGTCCACCACGTGGGCGAGGGTCAAGGGGCGAGGGAGAGTGCTACATACGGAGCAAAATGAGTGAATCTACACTCTAAAATACGTCTATATACATCAGTGTTTGGAGTATGTACTAGTAGTTCATATTGAAATCTACAAAAGGACATATATATTCCAAACAATATGATATGATCTCTATAACCAAGGTAGTGGGGACGAGGAGTAAATGGAGGGAGTAGTAATTTTTTCTCCTCGTCCTGCGAGCCACCGCGCGCATGGGCGAGGGAGCGGGCGTAAGGCGGAGCAAGCTTCGCCTCATACTGCGAGCCACCGCGCCCGTGGGCGGGGGAGACAGCGTACTAAGCAAGCTTCTCCTCATTCTGCAAGTTGACGGGACACATCAAAAGTACTCCAGTGTATAGAGCCTTGCTTCTAAGGTAGGCCACACATGGTTTGCCTCTTTTTTTAATTTAACATAACGCGTCAAGTCGCAATTTGTTTGTTCACCCGTGGTAGACGATCCTCCCTCCACCAAGTGGACAACCAGTACATGTGCCAAATTACCACATGGGCTGCCTTTTTCGGACAGAAATGAGCTCCACCGTGTACCCGCGCGGGTGTGGTTGGGAAAGAGACGGGAGTACGTGCACCGTGCATGCACCTCTTCTCTTCGTGCACGTCCCCCACCTACATGGGTGTGTGTGAGAGATACAAACCGCGTTTGTGAGTGTTTTTTGTTTTGGGGTGGGGGTTGATTTCGTGAATTATTTGTGGGAATACGTGTCGATGACATCTCAAACAAAATTTTGCATGCAATGTGTGTGAAATGGAGGCCTGTCCATATCATATATAGAGGGTCGGGAAATCCACGAGAAGAGAGGGAGGGGTCATAGCTATCGATAGAGTCGAAGAGAGGATGACGTGGGTGGGTGTGAGATTGATGAAGAGAGCCATCGAAATTGTGTGTGTGTGCAAGTCAAAGATATAGGGTGACTGGCCTACCGGAACGTTAGAGGGCACATGTCAAGTTTGTGTGTGGCAGGGAGACATGACTAGAGCGCTCGATGTCGGTGTCAAAACCGGCGGATCTCGGGTAGGGGGTCCCGAACTATGCGTCTAGGCGGATGGTAACAGGAGACAAGGGACACGATGTTTTTACCCAGGTTCGGGCCCTCTCGATGGAGGTAAAACCCTACTCCTGCTTGATTAATATTGATGATATGGGTAGTACAAGAGTAGATCTACCACGAGATCAAAGAGGCTAAACCCTAGAAGCTAGCCTATGGTATGATTGTTGTTCGTCCTATGGACTAAAACCCTCCGGTTTATATAGACACCGGAGAGGGTTAGGGTTACACAGAGTCGGTTACAATGGTAGGAGATCTACATATCTGTATTGCCAAGCTTGCCTTCCACGCCAAGGAAAGTCCCATCCGGACACGGGACAAAGTCTTCAATCTTGTATCTTCATAGTCCAGGAGTCCGGCCAATGGTGATAGTTCGGCTATCCGGACCCCCCCTAATCCAGGACTCCCTCAGTAGCCCCTGAACCAGGCTTCAATGACGACGAGTCCGGCGCGCATATTGTCTTCGGCATTGCAAGGCGGGTTCCTCCTCCGAACACTTCATAGAAGATTTTGAACACAAGGATAGTGTCCGGCTCTGCAAAATAAGTTCCACATACCACCGTAGAGAGAATAATCTTTACACAAATTCAATCTGCTGACGTATTCTGCGGCGTGACGTCACACCACGGCCAAGCCTTTATTGCAATCGTTTTTACTATCCCACCTCAGCGTGTTTAGCGAGGCGGCTTCCTTGGCACGTCTTATCTAAG